ACACACACACACACACACACACACACACACACACACACACACACACAAGAAACTGTCCAGATGACCTGACTGAAAAATGTTGGATTGTACTCCTGGATTATTGAGCTTGGACTTTGTTGTTATCAGATATGTGAGTTAGCAGGTCTAATTCATGAATTCACTTTAGGTTGAATATTTTCAAAAATATGTAATTACAGTTGTTTCAACTGGGACCTATGCAATCAGTGGAATGTGCATTTAAACCAAATTTTAAAAAGTGTTTCTGCAAACAACACCAATAAATAAATAAATAAAATAAATAAATTATAGCTTTTACTAAATAAACCTGCCAAGGATTAGTTGAGTTTAAAACAAACAAATATTTCATGATATTTTATCAATGAAGCCGTAATGTAAATAATAATTAAAAAAAGTGCAATGAAACAAGTTCATCTATAGATAAAAACAAAGATGTGAAAAAAAAAAAACAACAACAACAAACAAACAAAAAATAAAACAAGGAAAGCTAAAGTTTAGTTAGTGTGTGACTTTCCCCACCAGGGGTAAACAAATACTGAATCACAGTTACAACAACATCAGAAATGCTTTTTCAGCTGAACCCAAACCTCACTTTGTTATGTCTGATCACCTGGTTATCACACTTAAACCAGTTCACAAAAAAAGAAGACTCAAGACACAGCCATCAGTCAGACTGATGGAGAAAAGGTTAGCTTGCTTGGCTGCTTGGAGGCCACAGACTAGAACTTTTTAATGAGGCTGCAAACACCATTCATAAATACAGAGACTGTGAGTGACTGCATACGCTGGTGTTGTGTACCCCTCCCAGGACTGTGCATATGTTCCCAATCAAAAACTCTAGTTCAATAGGGACATAAAAAAACAAAATAAGGAAGTGAAGGGAGGCTTTAAAGTCAGGACATCAAGTGGAGTATAAGAGAGCCCAGGACGACCTGCAGCAGTCCATCAGAGCAGAAGGAAGGACTCATTCAGAATAGCTTGAAGGCTACAACCTCAACCAAAACATGTGTAGCATGTGGCAGGGAATTTGATCTGTCACAAAAAAACAGGAGAAGCACAACAATCACAGATCTCCAAAATGCCACCCTTCCAGACAGCCTTAACACCTTCTATGCCATGTTCTACAAGTTGAATACAGACTCAAACCCCACTGTGACTCCATGGACACTGCCTTCCAGGTGACACACACAGGCCCTGAAATCTCTGAAGAAGGTGAATATCCACACAGCTGTGGGACCTGATGGTGTTCTTCCCAAAGTTTTGAAGGCCCATGTGGAACAACTATCTGGATTATAAGCTGACATTCAACCTGCCATTATCCCAGCCAGTAGACCTTGTATTTTCAAAACCAGCATCATCATACTAGTTCTCAAAATCTGGACACATTCACCTTTATTGAAATGATGCGTTAACAATAGACGAGTCAGTGTACAGGACCTTGGTAGACAGTTTTCTAATCTATGGAGAGAAGAACAACCTCATGTTAAAAACAGACAAGACCAAATAATTCATATGTGACTTCAGGAAGAAGCATCTTATCATCTAAGGGACTGAGGAAGAGAGGGCTGACAACCATTCTTGTGACTGCAGGTAACATATGACCTGTGCTGGTCTGTCAACAACACACCTGGAGTGATAGATAAAGAAATAAATGAAAATAATAATAAAAAAAAAACAGCAAAGGCTTTACATCACTAGAAAGGAATGTGGGTTTGAACCAGCATTCTCTCACCTAGATCTATAAAGAACTGATTGAGAACATCTCCACCACATGTATCACCATCTGATATGGGAACACCACACAAATAGCACGTAAGGCCATGCAAAGCATATTAAAGACTGAAGAGAAGATCAAAGGAACGAAACATCCTTCCATGGACTTTATGTATTCACAGCCCTGTCAAATACAAGGAGAGGGAATAATCAAGGACTCATCCATCCAGATCACTCTATACTCAGATACAAAACAAGTTTATATAACTTGAGACACATAAGAGCAGACAGTATCATCACCCGTTATAAGGTCGTAAAATGTTTTTGTTTTTCAATGATGGCAAAATTAAACTACTAAAAAGGTGTAATAACAATCCGACAATGTCTAAATTCACATGTTATGCAGGGAAGGAGTAGATATTAACTAATCACTGTACAGTGTAGAAAATATCATTTATTATTTTATTTTATCATATAGTGTTTTTAAGCATGTTGACTGCAACTCTGCGAGAGCGCTGAACAAATACTTCAAAGTGCCTGGATTTTCAGTATGCACAAATGGCAATAAATATTTTTTGTATCTTTTGTAACTATTTGAAGGGCTTAGAGAGGATACAATCATGCCAAGTGTGTCACTGTACATGGTCCTGATGTTGATAAACAGGGTAACACAAAAAGCCCAAGCAATATGTCAAAAAACAACACTACAAATAGGTAAATATTAATTTTCTTCTGATTGTAGGGTGGTTAAAAAAATCCTATTGAAGGCAATATAAAAAATTAAATAAAAAAATTGAGGGTGCTAAAAGTAAGTTACTACAGACAACAATGTCCCAGACAGATAATCGGTTGTGTAAACTTAATTATTACAGTAGAAGTGAGGGTATTAAAAACAAAGCATTCAGCCACAGGAACACACAAAATACAAGTATTTACCCATAGTCTACAATACAGTATGGTTAAAGTAGAGGGAAATGTCAGATGTGAAAGAACCACTATGGGAAGATAGATCTAAAAGGCCATATAGGTCAAAGGTCACAACTGCAGGTATAAACAAAGCAGCCTGATACCTAAAATTAGACCAGTTTTACATAACTATAAACTCTGAGCATGATTAAATCAACGAACAAAATAGAAGAAAAACATTCTAACCTCTAGAGGAGAGTCAGGTTGGTCCAGGAGGTTCT